AATATTAGAGGAGTGAGTATCTGGTGACTGTGCTCTCTGGCAGAAGTTTTTCTAAACCTTGGAGCCAGCAGTGGCATTTTAAGCAGGTTTGTTGGCATGAGACTGACTAGCAGCAGCAGGGAGAGAGCATCACGTCTGTCTCACTTGGATTCCGCCCCGAGGACTCACAGTCTGTTTTCCTTTCCCCGTAGCACCCAGTACCCTATCGCTGCCCATCAAAGGAGCGTTAACAGAATACCAGGTTTCTGCCCACCCATTACTTACTTTGGTCCTTGATGAAGACTTTTCTGCTGAAAAGGCCAGTGAGCCTGGGACCTTTGCCTCAGGAGGGCAGGTGGCCTCTTAAACAGAATGATTAGTTGGGAGACAACAAGACTGAGTCCCTCTTAATTAGGCAGTAACTAAATAACCTGGTTAGAAATTTGATTAGCATCCTCCAGATTTTCCACATTGAGGAGGGAGTTATCACCAGCAGTTTGAGAGCCTAATTTTGTGTTTAGTACACGTGACTTTGCTTTTTAAACTACCAGGGTTCTGCCAAGGAAAGACTGGGAAGTGGCAAGTCACAGTGCTCAGCTGCAGGACAGGACGTTCCCATATAGACGTTCTGTCCATGTCCATTTCCATCTCACACCCACATCTGCACACCTTATGCAACCAGCTCCTCGTTCCTCCTCATAATGCGATTGCATCTCTGTACTTCTCCCTGTACCCTGTACCCTAAGTCATCAGGTGTGGCCCCAAAGAGGGGTGTAACCTTGGGTGAGGAGGCTCCCTCAGGACAAGAGCGGCTTCTGGGGAGAACTTGTGATCTCTCAGCACCAGTGCCCTGAGTGCCCCAGTTTTGAAGGACACTCTGGGTGGCGCCCCGCAGCATCCACCTCTGCGGTGGACTCGGAGTGTTCCTCTGACCAGCAGCGTCAGCATCACAGGGGCAGCGGCAGATCTCCAACTCCACTCTGGACCTGCTGCGTCAGAAACGGGCTGGGGGCCCCCCAGGGGTCCTGGTGCACACCCAAGTTTGAGAATCACTTCATTACAAAGCTGTCACTGTTTTTATTTTCTAGAGGGTTTTTTTTTTGAGGTATAAGTTGGCATGCAACATACTAGTTTCAGCTGTACGACATAATAATTTGATATTTGCAAATATATTGCAGAATGATCACCATGATACATGTGTCACCATACATAGATTTTTCTTGTGATAACTTTTAAGATTTACCCTTAGAAACTTTCAAATACATGCAATACAGTACTAACTATAGCCACCATGCTATACATTACATCCCTATGACTTATTTTGTGTAAGTCTTTATCTAAAATTTTGTGTCTTTTAACCTCCTTCACTCATTTAGTTTCTCCTCTGGCAAACACTAAGCCGTTCTCTGTATCTGTTAGCTTGGGTTGTTTTTGTTGTTGTTTTTAGGTTTTACATAGAACTGATACCGTACAGTGTTTGTCTTTCTCTTTCTGACTTATTTCACTTAGCACAATGCCCTAAAAATCAATCTCTGTTGCAAATGTCAATGCTTCCTTTTTCATAGCTAAATAATATTCCACATAGGTATGTATATGTGTATGTGTATATATAGTATATAACATATAGTTATTACAGTTGTGCAAACCAGCAGGAATTGCACAACTCTATGAGTGAGATGCAGGGCTTCTGGAGTCCCAGGCTTTCTTTTTGAGGGCTGTGCAGAGATTACTTGTTCACAGACTCATTTACTCTGAGTTCCAGTGTGGAAGAGACAGATCAAAGAGCACCAGGGACATATAGGGAGGAACTGAACAGACTGGCTTCAGGGCAAGGGCTGGAGGGGCAGAGGGCAGGGTAGATTTCTCTGGGGATGGAAGCCCTGTCAGGTGCTATCCCTCATACAGCTGTCCAGTGCAGACAGGTGCCAGTCTGCACCCTCCCTTAACCTGGCTAACACCATTTACCCAGCCCTGGTGATCCCCTGAGACCCTGCCCCATCCAGCTCACATGCCTGGCCCGAGGCACTTCCAGCAGCTTTCCCACACAGGTGGCCTGCCTTGACTTGCACTTTGAACTTCCCTAACATCTCTCAAACAAGCAGCGGCTGGCCTCAGCATTCCCTGTACCTCTTGGTAAGCAGTTCCAAGCCTGGCACAAGCAACAACTGATTTCAGCTTGCACTGTAATTCCCATTAGGTGGCACCAAGCCTGGCATAAGCTGTGGCCAGGGTTGACCTGGAATGGTACCTTCAGCTAAGCCGCAAACCCAACACAAGAGGCAGCTGGCCTCAGCTCAAGATTCAGTGCCCATCAAGGGTCCTAAGCCGAGCACTAGTGGCAACTAACCAGAGATCACTTTGGGTGCCCACACAACCCCTGCACAAATGGCAGCGGACCTTGGCCTGGAGCCTCCAGAAGTCTCCAGAACCAACACACTCACTTGGTGGCCAGCTTCAGGGCACACAAGAGCACCACCCAGACAGCTCCCCAAGGGACACACCCAGAGAGGGTGCACTCAGCAGGCAAAATTTAAAACTCTAATTTGAAAAGAGATATGCACCCCTGTGTTCATTGCAATATTATTTACAATAGCTAAGATACAGAAGCAACCTAAGTGTGCAAGAAGATATGGTAAATATGTACAACGGAATATTATTAAGCCATAAGAAGAAAGCTTTCCTTTTGCAACAACAGGGATGGACCTAGAAGATATTTTGCTAAGTGAAATAAGTCAGAGAAAGACAAATACCGTATGATTTCACTTACATGTGAAACCTAAAAAAACAAATGAACAATTAAAACAGAAATGAACTCATAGGTAGATTAAATTGATGGTCACCAGATGGGTTGGGAAGAGGTTGGGAAGGTGAAGTTGGGTTAAGAAGTACCAATTAATTGCCAGTTATAAAACCAGTCACAAGATGTTAAGTCCAGCATAGGAAATGTAGTCAGTAATATTGTAATAACTATGTATGGTGTCAGATGGGTACTGGACTTAGTAGGTTGATCCCTTCAAAGTTATATAAGCACCGAATCACTGTGATACACCTGAGGCTAATACAAAACTGTATGTCAGCTGTAATTGAGGGGGGAAAGTATGTAAATATGTACAGTCTTGTGGGACCACAAACGTAAGTCCCACTGGCCACTAGAGTTGGGCTAGATGTGTGCGGAAGCTGCAGCCAGCCTCTCAGACCAGAGCGCCAGGAGGAGCAAACAGGCTTCTTTCACAGAAAGGCAGGCTATGTCTGTGCAGTGCTCTGGGAGTGAAGCTGGCCAGGAATTGTTTGTTACAGTCCCGTGGGTGCCAGGAACCCAAGTCCTGCTGCCCACCAGAGCTCGGCAGCGGGGGGGGGGGGGGGAATGCCCCAGTCAGTAGCCACAGAAGCCAGGGCACGGGACACACACAGAAGCTCCTCTCCAGGAAATACCAGCGCTCGGAGTGCTGCGGGGGTGTGGGTGGGGTGAAGGTACTGCTTGCCCTCTGTGGTCTGGGAAGACTACAGTGGGCACTTACATGTGTGTTCGATTATAAGCCTACCCCACAGGCTGCACGCTATGGCTGTTTTTTAAGTGTTTTGAAGAAAACTACAGTGGAACCTCAGTTCTTGAACTTAATTTGTTCTGGAAAACTTCAAGTGATTTGTTTGAAATCTGAACCTCCTTTGTCTCCTGAGAGAAGCGTGAGTGATCATACAGGTATGAGCATGAAAGCACTGTCGGGTAGAGAATCGAGGCCCGAAGTTCATTAAACAACCGAGACATTTTTCCATGAACTTGGTCGAGAACCAAATTGTTCGAGAACTGAGGTTTGACTGTACTTTAATATTTAATGTTAAATACGCACACGTCCTATGCCCCTCCACTCCTAGGTATTTAAAATAAGAGAAAGGCAGGCCTATGTCCACACAAATGAATGTTTGCATCAGCTTTACTTGTGATAGCCTAAAGGGAACTCAGTTTCCTTCAGTAGGGGAATAAACTATGGTAGGTCTACCTATACAGTGGAATACTACTCAGCAATGAAAAGGAATGAACTATTGATATCTTCAACATGGATGGATGTCAAAATAATTACACTGAGTGAAAGTCAGACTGTCCCCTCCCAAACGCCACCCTATGTTGCATGATTTCATTATATAAAAATCTAGAAAAAGCAAGTTATAGTAACAGAAAACAGATCAGTGTTTGCTAGGGAACAGGGCTAGAGGGGGAGGGAGGGATGAATTATAAAGGAGAATGAGGAAATTTGGGGGGGGTGATAAATATATTATTTTGAGGTCATGGTGTCTCAAGAGTATACACGTCAAAACTCATCAAGTTGTATGCTTGGTGAAATTATGTATCAATAATGCCTCAAGAGAGCTGTACGAGATAATTACAATTTAAGTCGGATGGTTCCTGGGAAAGGCGGAGGGACAGGTGGGAGAGGAACACACTTTTAATGATGCTCATAGGTGAGCACAATATCGTTACACAGAGGAAGAAATGAGAGGGCCACCACAGAAAGGGAGAAACGGAATTTCCGATTGCCCCCTCAGCACCACTGCCTGTCGTGGGCATTCGTGGCTGCAGTGGCCCCTGCGGCACGGCTGTTCATGAAGTGGTCTTCCTGCACCTGGCTGAGCTCTGGCATCCAGCACACACAGTCCCACTGCTGGGCTGACTGAGGGCGCGTGGAAGAGGTGTCTGTCTTGTTCTGCATCTCTTGGTGGCCCGTAAACAGTGTTTTACATCCATCAGTATGTTGTGGTTTCTGAATCTCTTGCATTCCAGAATTTGTCTGTTATGGCCCAAACCATATATATATTTATCACACCACAGGCTGTGTCATTAATGAAAGCTGATATTTAGGTTGGTATTTCTGACTGCCTCATTCTTTAAAGGCACATGTAGATATACTTAACATGCTTTCTACTTCCCAGATATATTCTAGTCAAACCCAGTTAGTGAAAAACCCAGGAGGAATTCTTTTGAACTTCTTCATTGGCCACATGCTTCCTTCCTTGTGTTTCTGCAGGTCTGATTTACACCCACGGTGACCAGCACTCACTCAGGACTTTGTGGATCCAGACCCAGGGCTCCAGCGAACCCGGACCCCTCCCAAGTGAGTAGCCCAGAGTAACTCTGTCTGCAGAACTAGGGATGATGTCTCACTGAAATCACTTCAGGCATCCATCCCCACGTCACCCCGGTGGTGATAAGCACACTTCCCAGGGGACGCAGACTACAAAGCAGTCTGAGTTTGCAGGGAGAGGAATGATGTCTAAAATCTCAGGAAACCAATAATTTTATTTTCTGTTGTGACTTTTAATGCACACATCTGGAGTCATCTTGGAGCTTAGAATTGGCCGAGGAAGGTGAAGTTATTTAACCAAACCCAGGGTCAAGTTGGCTAAAATGATCATTAATTTAGACAAATGAATTTTTGAGACCATGGTCTTCAGATTGCCCAGGAGTATTTCCATGGAGATGCCACAGCACAGGTTACTCACATTTTAGTTGGGTTTCCAAAATGTTCACATGTCACAAATCTGATGGGAAGAGCTGTTTGTTTGTTTGTTTGTTTGTTTGAAGTAATAAAGGGCTAAAGTGACCCCATGTCCTGGCTTTTCTGTAACTGAGCCAGTTCAGTATCTTTTCAGTTTATAAAGGCAGTTCATTGACTACATTACTCAGTGTGGTATCACAAGATCTGTCTAGAATTAGGCACAGAGGTAGGCAACAGTGTATGAAAGAGCGTGGCGGTAGGATGGATCAGAATTTCTTTTTTTTAAAGATTTATTTATTTTTAGTGAGAGGGGAAGGGAGGAAGAGAGGAAAATATCAATATGTAGTTGCCTCTCCTGCGCCTCCTACTGGGGAACCTGGCTCACAACTTAGGCATGTGCCCTGACTGGGAATCAAACCAGAGACCCTTTGGTTCATAGGCCGGCACTCAATTCACTGAGCCACACCGGCCAGGGCCAGAATTTCTGATTTCTTCTGAATTACTGAGGAACGCCACTCTCTTCAGTAAGAGCAAGACCCTGTAAGATTCTTGTACGAGAACTAGCTGGGTATATTTCTTCTACTCTTCCTAAAATAGGATGCCTATTTCCATCTGATGCCTTTAAAACTTTTTATTTCCCCATTTTATTTATTTATATTTCAATAAGTTTAAATCCCTAGGGGCCCAGCATTACACAGATTCTGTGTCCAGCGGCCTCAGCAGGAAGGTCGCTTTGGCATTTACCACAAGCCATCCACTGTTTCCACGAGCACGCGTTCTCTCTCCCCAGGCGACTCTGGTTTTGTTCCGTTTACCCCCAGGAGTCACTGTGTTGTTCTTTGCTTTGTTGTACACATAAGCACATCTCTTGCCTAGACAAAATTCACTTTCATCTCGAGCATCAGCGCCTTCAATTTTAAGATGAGCTGTGTGCTCCCTCTGGTTCCAGAGACCCCGCTTAGAGCCTGCAAAAATGGCCTTGGATCACACCTTCCAGACATACTTGTCATCGCAGAAGTCATGTTCCCAGCGGGCCTCCACAGGCTCCAAGACAAAAAGGGAGGCGAGCAAATGCCCTTTTTTAAACAAAAACATTCAAAAATAAAAACAGAGTGCTATGTATTTTAATTTTTTTCAATTGATTTTAGAGAGGGAGGGAAAGAGAGAAGCATCAGTTTGTTCCACTTATGTGTGCATTCATTGATTCATGCACGTGCCCTGACCAGGGACTGAATCCACAACCCTGGTGTATCGGGATGACAGTCTAACCAACTGAGCTACCTGGCTGAGGCCCGGATGGCTGAGTTTCACATTGATTTTACCTACTGGTGTCTTAGGCTACTTTTTCTAACTGATAATCCATAGATGATTTGTCTATATCCTTGAAAGAACATTATAGTAACGATTCCTAATCCTTTTACCTGCCCATTGCACAGTACTTGCAGAAGGCTGTGGTGACTCAGTAGCATAGGAAGTACTGACAGATAACCTGTATTTTGCAGGAAGGAGATCGTAATTTCGGATTCCCTGGTGGAGGAAAACAAAACACTCTGGTCTTGCTTCCAATGATGCAAGTGTGATTGTCGGCGTCTTCATGGGCTCCAGAGGTCACAGCACGCTGCCGCGGACTCTCATGGCCCCTCGGATGATTTCTGAGGGAGACATAGGAGGCATTGCTCAGATCACCTCCTCTCTCTTCCTGGGCAGAGGCAGCGTGGCCTCCAACCGGCATCTCCTCCAGGCTCGTGGCATCACCTGCATTGTTAATGCTACCATTGAGATCCCCAATTTCAACTGGCCCCAATTTGAATATGTTAAAGTGCCTCTGGCTGACATGCCTCATGCCCCCATCGGACTGTACTTTGACACCGTGGCCGACAAGATCCACAGTGTGAGCAGGAAGCATGGGGCCACCCTGGTGCACTGTGCGGCAGGGGTGAGCCGCTCGGCCACCCTCTGCATTGCGTACCTGATGAAATTCCATAGTGTGTGCCTGCTGGAGGCATACAACTGGGTGAAAGCCCGGAGGCCTGTCATCAGGCCCAACGTAGGCTTTTGGAGGCAGCTGATAGACTACGAGCGCCAGCTCTTCGGGAAGTCGACGGTTAAAATGGTACAGACACCTTATGGCATAGTTCCAGACGTTTATGAGAAAGAGTCCCGACACCTGATGCCTTACTGGGGGATTTAATGCCACCAAAGTCTGCATCAGCAGCCCCTTGGGCAGGACCAGCATCTGCTACACACCGTTTGCTCCCCTCTTCACCTTTCTCTTCAAATGGTTGACTTTCGGTTCTCCCTGAAGTGTTTTTTACACTGGGTGTTCGTTTATTTTCATGGGTATGGAGGAGGGGGGAACGTAAGGGGAATGCGTACACTGCTAGTAACATTTTTAAAACTAACATTTTGGAATAGTGTTTATGAAAATCTTTAACTGGCTTTTACTTTTTAATAATTTGAACAGTTTAATGAACTGTTTGGTTCCCCTCCATTTTGAATCCCATGCCTTCTGGCATCACAACAGGTGCAGGAGGAGCTCAGTGCAAAAATCACCTTGGGTCCTGGTTAACCCTCTAGAGACGAGCTCTGCCTACGGCTGCTGACCACCCAAGTGCTTAGAGAAGATGGATACCAGCTTCCGTCTCTGTTGGATTAGCCCTACTCTTTTCTTCCCCTTTATTATTTAGTAACTTTGTAAGTCAAAAAAAAACCCAAACAAAACAAACCAGACTAACAATTATTTAGCTGTTAAGTAATTATAATGAAATCTGCTGCAAACACCCTCTTGGAATCAATGTGCTCCAGGACTATATCAACATTATTTTTAATAAACCTATCTGCTTAACATACTAGAATTTTTACTAAGAAGGATTTCTGGGCGTGTGTGTGTATGTGTGTGTATGTGCTGATGGGAGAAAGATGCTCTCCCATAATTATGTTAAAATATGGCTCCTGTGTCAATGATGAACATCACATAAAATAGGTGTCCCAGCTGAATCATGTCAACATTTCACATCCTTGCAGATGGGCAGGTATTAGTACTGTTTACAGTGCTGGGACAGTGGAAAATAGCAGAGAGTGTACACTCTGATAAAAGGCGGTTTCTAGTTCTCTTGGTAACTGGAGTGCACCAAAACTGAACCCTCCGGCAGAGAAACTGGTTTTCCACAAAAGGTGTGCCTTTGCTGACTATTAACACACACAAATGCCCTAAACCAAACGTTAATACAGGAGATAAGCAAATAACAATAGCTTCCCCTGTTGAAACCCGGACAAAGTTTCAACTGCTCCTAATAAGTCTGACAATACAATTCATCAGGGACTTGGTGGTTTAATTACTTCTCCTTGATTCCATTTCCTGAGCAGTCACCGGGCACTGCCAGGCTGCCCCTTCTTGGTAGGGCAGCCACTGGGCACAGTGCTTTTTTTTTTAACTTCATTTGGCAGGTAGGTTGTAGCTAGCTTATACGTGGAATAATTTGCTAGATTTTTGGTCTATTTTGGCAAGAATCCATGAATGTAATGCCAGGGGCTGCGTATTTATATAAATTGTATCTTTCAGATTTTACCTGGTCTCTAGCAGGTGGTTTCCATCCAAATTCTACCTTTTCTTGTTTCATACCATTTGCCCACTTTCATAAACGCATCATTACTGTCTGAATAGAAAAACTGCAGTAGAGTTAATAGTTTCTATGGAAAATCAGAGGAACCTGAGATGTTATATCAGCACATGAATAAAAGTCATTCAAAGGAGCAAGAAAACAGTCCTGTGGCTGTGGAGTCCGTGGCTGCTTTAATACCAAGACAATCTGAAAGTCTCGTCTCTGGATAAAAGTCCAAAAAAGTCACTGTCCTATAGTGAGAAAACACCTAGTAACAGATGTTCTCAGTAATTAAGGAAATTTCCTGCAGAAATTCTGGCAAGCACCACTGCTGGGATGTAATAACTAAGCATTCTTAGCCCCAGGGAAGCCTAACACCTTTCTAATCTAAATGTCAGTTTATTAGCTGGTCACAAAGGTAGGTGTGTGGCCTAGAAGGAGGCAGAGGAATTTCTGTGGTGATCCCAGGTAGGACGAGCATTTGATATTTCTGTAGCATAAAGGTCCTATAATCTTTTCGAAGCTTAAGAACACACTTGTCATTAAATAAAAGGCAAGTAGAAGATATCTTCAAACAAAAACACAACCTCGAAATGCTCAGTTTAAAATATGCAACCCCTATAGAGTGCCACGGGAAAAACAACGTGGATCATATCCCAGTATACCCTGTGCCACTTCTACTGTAAGCATGTCCAGACAAAAATTACACACTGTGCCATAAAAAATTTAAAGGCAAAACAATGTTTAAAGAAGGGCTTATTAATTGCCACTCAAGCAGTGGGGTGAAGCTGCCAACACAATACACAGTATGGAAATAAGTAACCTTGGTTACCGTTTCCAAGGACACTGGACTCTGCTAACAAGAGCTGAGGTGAAACTGAATGCAGTGTTGAGTCATTTTAATAAACTTGCATAAATAAAATCAGTGCAATGGTACTCCACACTCCCCACATCCTTATTGGTGGTATCTAACACGACATTTCTATAAACAGATACTGAAAGTAAGGAACACTTTTCGTAGCAAAGCCTCTTTGTCGTTTGTTGAAGCCTCTTCCTCCTCTCATGGAGTCACTAAACCTACCATATTCAGGAAGGTCAGCAGTAATTAGAAATTTTATCTAAGAAATTAGGGAATATATCTAGGAATGGAAATCAGTCTGGTTAGCAGGTGAGCATACTTTTAAAAACATTGATACAGGCCATTGGGACAAAATAATCCATACTTTCAAAAAAGAAAGTCTCAGCAGTGTACATTCTGTCAAACAATGATATTCTTCCTGCCAAGACAGACTGTGTTATGGTCTATGATGGCATAAACAAAACCAGTTAGAAGCCTGCTTGAATCTGGGTGCCCTTTGAAACCTGTGGTGCTGCACAGGCTGAACCGGACGGAGCACAGAGGCCTCAGGAAAAGCCTGCTAGCAACTGTCCCGGGTGCACAGTTACCACTGCTCCACTAGTCCTGCGGCAGGCAAAGGTGCTGAAGGTTTCAGTCCTTAGTAGATGGAGATGCTATCAATTGGAGCAAATGAGAAAAACATTGATCTCATCAGCACCTCCCTGCATTCTGGTGCACAGTAAGGTGAAACAGAAGCCTCGTCAATCTCTGTCTAATGAAATATGCTTTATACCTTTTTTTGGTAAAAGGTGTAACATGGAACAAAACATTTCCCTCAAGTTTTGTCCTGAGAAGGGAAAGGAATCTATTAATTATGTAAAGCAGCAATTTTATAGGCAAAGCCAAATTTTTCAGTTCACAAAAACAGCCTAGGTCAGAGAGCATAAATCATACAAAATGAAACACTAGGATTCAGAATCTCTTCATAAATCACATAACTAACCATTCACAGCACTGTGTATCTGAGACGGGCGTGTTCTTCCCAGGGACACCACCATCTTTACCCAGTGGCTTCCCCCCGATTTTATGCATTTAGCTTATGTGGCAAAATCCCCCACAAAGGCATGAGCCTTTTCCTTCTAAAATTCAGTGCTCTTTCTGAATTTTAGAAGGAAACAGTTTTCTTCCACTGCTTCTAAGTTCTGTAACCTTTACCGTGAACACACATCATATTATTCGCCTCACTAGGCCAGGAGCTCTACCTCCTAAGCCCGTATTTTCAGGTCGCTCATAGAGATGCTGCGAAGTCAGGCAGTCAAATGACCCATGCAGTCATTTTTGGAAGTTTGGACAGAAGCCATCGCGACAAGATTTCATTCAGCTGTCTTTCCAAATTGCCTGAAAACAGCACCATGCTCACAACCTGCGTGTGAGGCAAAGCGGAAGGTTTCCAGTGAAGGCCCCAAAGGAGAAGGATATTCATCTCGCTAACCAAGGATTTGGGCCTCTGTCCAAACGAAAATTCTCCATTGCTAAGTACTTAGGTCAGTTATGAGGAAAAGTCTTGAAAGTTGACAGTTTTAGAAATGAAGGAAGAGAGTAGAGAACTGGTTCGGTTGCTTCAGCAAAGTTAGTACGTCTGCCCTTACCTGTCACTGTTCAATGGAGATGGACAGAATTTTTTCTGTAAAAGAACATTTCAATCACAATTTCCCTTCTTTATTCATTTCAGACATGCACACACTAAACGGAGACAAGTGCACCCTACTTCACAAGACAGTACATGTTCTAGATATAAATAAGCACTGGCTCAGCATTCTAGCCAACTCCAATCCTACAACAATAATTTAGTTTTCTTCAAATGTCAGTTCTTCACAGTTTCAATACTGCAGCAGCAAATTATTCCTTAGATAGAGAAAGTTGTGGTCCCTACTGTAAAACACCTGAAGAGAACTAGAGGTAAGTTAGCAAACTACAGATGACCTTTGTTCCCTGGGTCCCACATGCAATTTGGGTAGGGCAATTTTACCACAAATCCCAAAGACTGGCAGCGGGACCCAGGGGACAAAGGTCACCTGTAAGAATGACTAAAAACTACTGCATCTTTTTTCACACCCACCCATTGGGGAATTCTTCATATAAACTAATACAGGTGAAGTTTGCAGTACTTGCATTCTGTTCATCGGTCCCTGTCACCCATGGGTGTGACCCCTCCCCCCAACCCCCCCCCCCAACCCAGCTGGTACTTCATAGAGGAGCTTTTCAGAGCAAATCAGGCAGGATGAGGCCAGGAGGTTTTGGCTCAACACAGTTGATCCAGAAGTTGGCACAGCTGGCGTGATACTGGTGTCCTCCGTAAGCCAGCTTGAAGCTGTCTGTTTCCGAGTTGAACGCCTGCCAGGAACAAACAGACACGTGGAGCAAGTCAGGCTTCTGCACCTCAGAGCCGCACGTTCACTTCTCCAGGTCACAGAGGCCATGGCCAAACGGGCACACACACAGAAGCTGAGCAGGTGGCTATCGAAATTCAGGTCAGAAAGTGTTTCACTGCTCACTAAAGATATAAAAAAATCTTTACCATTAAACCTAATTTCAGCAAAAGGTGGCCAGAGTTCATAGGAAAGTCTGTGCAGGGTAGGACATTGTCATGAGAAGGGGAACTAACACAGCCAAAGACTGTGGCTAATTTTTATCCACCACGTTGTGGTGAAGGAAGCCCTTCCCCGAAGGTGGCCAATAACATGTAATCCCTTAAGTTTAGTGGCTAATTACAGTCCTATCATGAAAGAAAACGTAAGATCATAAACCCTTAGGGTCCAATGCCACTGGGAGCTGATAACTGAATCAACATAATTTAAAAGTCCAAATAGGTACAGGTTTGTTTTAAAAAGAAGAAGATATTAAACACAGGAGAATAATTTCCAGATGAATAATGTTTATAGGTGAGTTACAGCCAGCCGCTCCTAACCACAACCACATCCTGGGGACTATTTATAGTGCTTTTTAAAGCATTATAAATAAAGAAATAAAACAAAACTCAAACGATTTGTTTTCTGTCTGATAATGGCCAAATCCTGAAGCTCTTTGATCTCACTGTGTGTCACTGTGACTTCCGATCTCCCAGAAGTTGCTCATTCTGTTACTCTGCTCAGCACAACACCAGAAGCCAATTACGAGACACAAGCATGCAAACAAGACAGAAGCGGACCCACACAGACAGTTGGTTGACTAAATCAAATACGGGGACGAAGGTGACTCAGCAAAGCATTCATGATTGGACAGTTCGGGATGCAGTGGAATCATCTGATTTGCCTTCCACATTCGAAATTAAGATGGAGACACTAAGATAATGTGTAACTGGTTCATACTTTTTTAGGATGTTCCTCTGCAGGCTTCTCTTCTTTCTGAAATAACGTTGAAACCGTCAGGTCAACAAAATATCCAGAACAGAGCCTCTTGCCTGCAAACGACTCCTTTTCTCTTTACCACCCTACTGGGCGCGGCAGGCACAATGCAAACCCCACGCTTCCCCTCAACAGCTTCCCCCACTGCTCTTTTGAAACGGTATGTTTATTTCTGTGGTCAGATTTCAGGACTTCAAAAAATCCCCACCACCTCTGGGCACTGACCTCATAGCGCGGTGATCTGAATGGGGTTGTCCCCCCGGCCACGTTTAGAATGCACTTTGCCATCTGCGGGGAAAGGCGTGTGACTTACCCGGCTCCTGGAGTCCACGTTTAACAGGCACACCCCACAAGCAAGTTCCTGAGCGTTTTTAATCCCAGGCCGCAGCATACAAGAGGAAAAATCCAGTGAATTTTCATCGGGCTGTGAAAACGAGATAAACAGGTAAGAACCTGCTAATTCCAAATGCTGTTGACTGCACTCCCTGATCACTCTTTCCCAACAGGTCCAATAGCAAATTAAGTAAACTCTCTTACACCATCAGTACAATTCAATTTCCCAAATGTTTACTGAGTGCCTGCATGTTCCAGACACTAGGGATGCTAGCATGAGCCAAAAACAGTGCTTGTCCTCTGAGAACTCAGTCTAGGGTAGGAGCCTAGGGTAGAAGTCAGGGAGCACAGTGTGATGAAAGCCATGCTAGGGGTAAGTACTGAGTGTCAGGGCACCCGTGGCGGGGGGGGGGGTGGCTTACCTCACCCCCAGGGTAAAGGAATCTGATGGCAGGGAATGCTTTCTAAAACTTAGATACAACTTGGTGGAGTCCTGATGGGTATATGTGAGGTGAAGGGGATGGGGAGGATGAGATAGGGGAGGGAAGGATACTTATTCTTTATAGAACAAGCAGCCCAAGCAAAGGATCTAAGCAAAAGATTGGGTATGGGAAGAAATCTTAGGGGAGGGAGCCACGCTTATGAAAGGGGTAAGGGATGGAACTGGAGCACGAGGCCTTGAAAGGAACATAAGGGGTTGAGGCTTTATACTGGGAAGCCACTAAGGGTTCTTCTAACTGGATCATGGCAGAAGCCAGTGTGTATTGTGGACCAATCCCTCTGGTTGCAATATAGGCAGTGCACTGGAGGAGGTAATCTTCAAGGTACGGGCCTCAGTTACAAGGCTGTTGTAGTCCGGGATACAGACACTGAAGGTCTGAAGTAAGGCAGCAACAGTGGGGAATGGAGAGAAATGGACATAATGAGAGCTAGTAAGACAGTAGAGTTAACAGGTGCAGGTGTGGGCAATCTATTGTTCTCCGAGGAGGGGAGAGGTCTTGGGCAACTGAGAGGATCCACCATAATAGGTGAAGGCACAGGAGAACAGAACCAGGTTTGGGGATAGAGGATGAGGAGAAGAGCTCGGTTTGGTCCAGGCTGGTGGAGCTGCCTATAGCACAGCCAAATCCTGATGCTGCAGAAGCAGGCAGCCGGAGATACAGTCCTAGTGGTCGAGAATGAGAGGTCTGGAAGCCATCGGCCAGAGTCACTCCAACAACGGCTAGTAAGTCAAGTTCTTACTTGGCCAGGTACCACACTAAACTCTTTACGTGCACGATCTAATTGATTCTTTAGAACAAATCTATGAAATATGGAGAGTGTAGCTCCATGAGTAAAGGGGCAGGTCCCAACTTTGGGGAGCTGTTAGTTTCTTGAAAGTTAACATATACATGTACTATACAAATGTGCAATTCCACTCCTAGATATTTATCCAAGAGAAATGAGAACATATGTTAACAAATGTCTCGCGCAAGAGGTGTTCATAGCAGCTCCATTCTTATTAGCCAAACTGAAAACAGTGTGTGTCTACAAACAGTAAAATGGATTCTAAAAAACCACAGTATATTAATACAATGGAATATTACTCAGTGGCAAAAGAGATCAAGCTGACATAAAATGACATAGATGAATTTTTAAAACACGCTATGCAGCAGAAGCCAGATGGACACAGAACATTATATATATATTACATAATTTCATTTACATATAGTTCTGGAACAGGCACAGCTACGGTGATGGAAATCTAGGGAAAACAGATCACTGGGTGTTTTGGAATCAGATCAGGGGGCTGAGTGGGAAGTGAAAACACGGAACTTTAGGGTTGATGAAAATATTCTGTATGTTTGGGGTGTGGACCACATGACTGTATGCACTTCTCAAAGCTCATCTAACTATATATTTAAGGTCTGTGCACTTCATTGTGTGTTATTCCTCAATTAATAAAAACACGTAAAAAACAAAGCAAGCAAACAAAAATCAACACCAAAGGAAAAAAAATGACTCAGAAGAGTTGGATTCTCAATGTGAAGAAGTTTTAGATATACCTAGTTTATTTTGCTTATGCCCTGGAGCAGAGTTCTCAAACTTGCCAATACCGACATTTTAACTCGGGTAGCTCTTTGTTGCGGGACCTGCCCTCTGCACTGTAGGATGTATAGCAGGATCCCTGCCGATGTGGGGGCGAAATAGTGCCCCTCTCCCACCATTAGCCCCTGGCCAGTGTGGCTCAGTTGGTTGGACCTAGTCCCATAAATCAAAAAGGTTGTGGGGTTCGAGTCCTGGTCGGGGCCCGTATGAGAAGGCCACCAATATTTTCCTCTCTCAGCAATGAAAAGAATGTCCTCAGGTGAGGATAAAGAAAAACAGAACTGACTTTCCAAAGTGGAAAAAGCATAATGCACGCACACCTGTTTATTATAAATTTCATTGATATAAAGGACGTGTAGTACACAATTTACTAGCAATAAAATATATAACCGTCTTTTACTGCAAACACGATAGCCACCTGATTTGCACAGGAGGCTTTGAGAATTTTTGCCCAACTCTTGGGCCCATAATCAAACTAGACCCATTCTTTCACGGAAGAGGAGAATTCTGACGTGAATATCGGTGATGTTTTCACGTTAAGGAGTAGGATTACAGTGAAACAGCAGAGACATATTTCAGAGTTTCACTTGTCTGTCAAATTCGTGTTCTTTGCTGAATCAGATAATATTGGGTTGGCTAAAAAGTTCATTAATTTTCTTCTATACAATGGCTCTAGTAGTGCTTAGTTGTCTTTATCTTCAGTTGAAACTATTTTATTTGATTCTGTTGTGATAACTGTCATATCAACGTGCATAAAAAATTGGTGAGGGGGGTGGGTTGGGATGGGAGTAAAAGAAAACTGTACTTGAACAATTAAATAAAAATAAATTAATTTTAAAAATTGGTGAATTTTTGGTGCAGCCATTTTAATATTGAAGATTTAAGAAAATATGCATTTCTGTCATATTATGCTTTATTATTTCAAGAAAGGTAAAAATGCAACTGAAACACAAAAGATTTGTGCAGTGTACGGAGAAGGTGCTGTGACTGATAGAACATGTCAAAAGTAGTTTGCAAAGTTTCTTGTGCTATTGACATTTTGGCCAAATAATTTTTGCTGTGGGTCTGGCTGACACATTGGAATATGTTTAGCAGCACTCCGACCTCTGCCCACTAGAAGCCAAGAATGGGAGACAGCCAACGCACTCAAAATATCCAAATCAATAAAGTTATTGGTGAAAATAAAAAATGTATCATTTATTTTACAGAAAAAACTAAATGAACTTTTGGCAACCCAATAGCTCTCGAATACTGGAGAATGCTTCCTCAACTCTGTTCTAGTCACAATATGATGTCTCCAGACACACACACTTCTAAGTTTAATCTGCAATCCTAACATGTTCTCCATTAATTCTTCAGTCTAGACAATCAACAAACAACAAATCCAGTCCATGTTTGCAGCATTTGTGATTTCCATGGTATAAATACTCCCACCATGGTTGATTTCGAGCTACCCATGCGATGTCACTGAACACGGAGTTGAGAGGAGATGCCCGAGACGCCACCATATGGAACTTCCACAGATGGCTGTGATAGACGGGGGGACCAATAGGCTGGTTTGTGCAAGACTATTCCAGTGTCAGTTCGGAGGAGACTCTCAGTCCTGAGCAAACCAAGATAGTGGCTTGTCCTAGGACAGACATAAATGACCTCAAAAGCCAAGGACTAGGCAGATGGCAAAGAAAGCCAAGATGGAAGGGAGTTGATAGGAACCATGTAAAAGGGTCAAAATGACTGTCCTGCCTTTTGATCCAAAAACAAGAACAGCGTGAGTCAAGTATGAGAAAGCTGGACGGCCACCAACATGGGCCCAGAGAGACGGCTCCACAGGTGCTGCGGTGCGATCCTGCAAACAGAGGCTGGAGGGAGGTGGGGACCGCGGCGCCACAGTGCAGTGGTCAAGGATCTGGGAGCCTGGCATACTGGCTGGCTGTGTTGTCGTCATGGATACCGAGGTGACCCAGGATGGTGGAAAATCCCCGCCCAAATAATAGCTACCTACATTTTCTATGGTTATTTAAGGCTGAATCACTGAGGAGTTACTACACTGTTTTTATATTTGCAAAATTGTATTACTCTTCCCCAGAAAAAAAGCTCCTTCCTAGAAAAACGTGTAGCTTATATACGATGCTTCCCCATCCCTTACTATAGAAACAATAAACCATGTATTAGCTCTACAAACCTTTCTCAAACTAACCCGAGCTGAATCCACTCAAATCACCCCTGAGGAAAGGAGGGCAAGTCCTGGAAGAAGAAAGGGGCGGGGGACGTTTCAGCTGCGGGCCTGAGCACCCTGACCTCGGTGATCGCCAGAGAACTCCATGGCCTCAACTGGGCCAGGGGGTCATTTCCCTGTTTTAGTACAGTCGTGGCTACTTTTGTCAAATGTAGAAGTGGGTGGTATTATTGTTTGTTTGCTGTCCAATGCTGTCACCTGTAAAATGGTAACATTTCATCTGCCACCCCCTCCCCCGCCCCTCAGTTGGTGCCGGGGGCCCTCGGAGATGTAGGGAAGTGCTCTGAGAAAGGACAAAATACTCTAAGTGACTATCGCAGTTAGTCACGCTGACAAATGAAACTAAAGTTTTTTGAAGAGGTTAAAAACACAGTGGCATCTGGGGAAACTCAATCAAATTAAAATCAATCAAATTAACAAAAGCCCTTTAACATCTGTTTACCAAAGGGATAAGGGAAGCAAAAAATGAAAAGGTCATATTGTAATCTCCAGTGAAAATTAACTGGAGATTAATTTTCTGCATAAACTTCCCTATGGTTAATCTTTCAAATGGTAAAATCAAATGGTTAATGTTTAAAATGTGTTTATAGAAGCCTTTAGAATGCATTCTGCAAGCAGAGGGCGTGTCGCAGTACACAGAACAAGGAGACCCCTCAACGGCCGTGATTCTGTGAGAAGGTGTGCCCTCTACAGGCCACCTTAAGTTAAACATCACTTATTTTAATTGGGAAGTATTTCCTGCATTTAGTAAGAGAAAAAAAATGTAT